GATAAGAACAAATCTTTGGCACTACCTACTGCCACCCCCCCCCAGCCAAAAAAAAGTCCCTGATGGGAAGGGAAGTGGGTGGAACCACTCGGTGGTCTGCTGGAGCTGTGTGGGCACCGATTCTTGGCAAGTCCCTGCACCAGGGCGGGAAGCACTGTCCACTCCCACACCCGCCCCACGATACCCATCGGCTTTTATTGGCTGGTTTTTCAGAAACAGCGTCACCAGCCCTTTCTCTCTCTCTTGCCTTGAATTTGGAAGCCTCACTGAAAGTGGTTGAATGCCGTACAACGCACAAGCCTCCACAGATAGACATGTGGTCGCTACGCTAGAGGTGTCCTGTGGGGAATCGAACCAGGTCTCCCAGGTGGAAGACAAGATTTTTTTTTTTTTAACATTTTATTAGGGGCTCATACAACTGTTATCCCAATCCATACACACATCAATTGTGTAAAGCGCATTTGTACATCGTTTCTCAAAACATTTTCTCTTCATTTAAACCCCCGACATTAGGTCCTCATTTTTCCCCTCCCTCCCCGCTCCCCCCTCCCGCAGGAGCCCTTGATAGTTTATAAATGGGTATTTTGTCATATCTTGCCCTGTCCGACGTCTCCCTTCATCCACTTTTTGGTTGTCTGTCCCCCAGGGAGGAGGTCACACACAGTTCCATGTAATCGGTTCCCTCTTCCCTACCCATTCTCCCTTTACCCTCCCTGTTTTGCCACTCACACCACTGGTCCTATAGGGCTCATCCGTCCTGTATTCCCTGTATTTTCAGTTCCTATCTGTACCAGTGTACCTCCTCTGGTCTAGCCAGTCTTGCAAGATAGAATTCGAGTCATGGTAGTGGGAGCGGGGAGGAAACATTTAGGAACTAGAGGAAGGTTGTATTTCTCATCATTGTTACATCGCACCCTGACTGGCTCATCTCCTCCCCTAGACCCCTCTGCAAGGGGATCTCCAGTGGCCTACTAATGGGCTTTGGATCTCCACTCCGCACTCCCCCCATCATTCACTATGGTAAGATTTTTTGTTCTGATGATGCCTTACATCTGATCCCTTCGACACCTCGTGGTTGCATAGGCTGGTGTGCTTCTTCCATGTGGGCTTTGTTGCTTCTGAGCTTGATGGCCGCTTGATTACCTTCAAGCCTTTAAGACCCCAGACACTATACTTTTTGATAGCCGGGCACCATCAGCTTTCTTCACCACATTTGCTTATGCACCCATTTGTCTTCAGTGATCCGTTCGACACCCCGGAAGACAAGATTTTACCACGGACCCACCGCTTCTTGTTACTGCCTCCAAGTCAGAACTGACGTCCGGTCAAGCTAACCCATTGCTGGAGGTCTCTGTGGTCTTTGTTTATACCACTTCAAAATGGCAGTTTTGATATGCTCAAGAGACTCAAATCACGTACTTTTAAAATGTTCTTTGAGTTTGGAAAGAAGAAGTCTAAAGAGTGAGAGTGTTTTGCCATGGGGAAACATTCCTAGAACCACTTTTCTAGCCTTTGCCTCACCAGTTTTCAATTTTCTTAATGTCGTCCTAAGAAGCACACCAGCTGGTGTGATCCAATGATTGTAAATAATAAATTCTGAATCCAAAGGAGGGAATGGTGTAAGAACTTAAGTTGTTAACACCTGGTTTGTGTCAGGCTATGGATAACTGTTTGAGGATCCACACATGGATGAATCCCCTCTGACTGTAGTTGAGGGATGTGAATAGGCTTGTTACCAGACAGAGAGCATTGTAAAGTTGATTATGGTAGATGTAGGTAGGTTAAAATGTAATATCGTAACATTTGATCTCCCTTTTGAGCCATTTTACAGTTGTTTCAGTAAAATAAAATTTCAAAAATGAAGTGGAAACATATGTATTAAGCTTCTGGTGAACTAAAGTAAACCAGAGTCGTTCATAACCTGTAGACAAGCAAATGGATTCTGGGCTCCCACTTAATTCTAGCCCCGTTCCAAGAACAGCGAGTTCACGAAGAGATCACTGAAGATAAGGGTGCTACAGCAAAGTGCAGTGAAGCAAGTAGATGGTGCCTGGCTATCAATCAGAATAGTGTCTGGGGTCTTAAAGGCTTGTACGCAACAACCAGCCATCTAAGCGAGGTGTCAGCTAAGACCACACTGAAGCAGCATACCAGTTCATGTGATCCAAAGATGACAATAATAAAATTCAAATATGATGAAGGGAAAAGCAGCAGAGCTTAAAGTGGGAACACCTAATTTGTAGAAGGCTATGGAAGACAGTGGGAGCCCAAAATCCATCCCCAGAGTATCTAGTTAGATTAAGCCTCTGGCAGATCCTCTCTGGCCAATGGCAAGGGACTCAAACAGCTTTACTGTCAGACAGAAATTATTGTAAACTACAGTATATGGTTCTTGTTCAGTTGACCTCCCTCTTGGCCCAACCTGAATGTGTTCCAGGCTCAAACATTTCTCCTTTGTTCCACGACAGACATTTTTTTTCTGGTTTTAAAAATATTGCTGGTGGTCTTTTTTCCCCCCTTACTCTTGTGTTTTTATTTTATCTTTATATAATTTTTTCTGTTTCGTTTTGTTTTGGTTTTCTTGTTTTTGTTGGGTTTCCCAGTCTATGAAGCACAAAAGGAGAGGACGCATAGAGACAATTACTGATGCAGTGGTTTATTGGGGAGGTGGGGGAGAGTGAGGGAAATTGGGAAGCCCACAATGAATGCGGGAAAGGGAGGGAGCATGAGAATTGTGATGATATATATACAACTCTTTTGAAAAGTGACTTAACTATAGAAGTGTATGGTATGTGAATTTTATATCAAGAAAGCTAATTTTAATAAAGAAAGAAAGAACTCAAAGTTGGCCAATGGTTACCATGGATGAAGGAGGAAGAGTTTTTGTTTGGGGGGGGCTGTGGCAGTTACATAATGTCCTGTTAACTTGCGAGGGTGTGGAGTCTAGCCTGTCAATTCAGGTTGCAGCTTGATGACCTCATTTGGAGGCGCCACAGAAATAAATAGCTAAAAAAAAGAAAGAAAGAAAAGAAAGAAAGAAATAGCTGATTGGAGGCCAGATACACTCTCTGCTTCATCTTTCTGCTGACAAGACACATGGAGCTAAGCTGATGAAGCTAGAGCCCTGGAGCTGGAGGAGTCTCATGGAGACCCCTGCCAGCGCTGAGATGCTTCCACTGCCTCTGGATCCTCAAGACGGTCCCCTACTGGCCTGTAATCTTCCTGCATTTGGCATCATTCATGTATTTCGTGAGTCTGAAGAGGAATTTATAGATTGGTACTGGACATATGGGCTAATATCGGACTTATGGACTTGATCTGGACTGGGCTGGGATGTTTTCTTAATATACAATTATTCTTTGATACAAGGTTCTCTCTTACACACATATGAGTGTCTATGAATTTGTTTCTCTAGTCTACCTAGACTAACACAGGGGCATTGAGTTTATGTTAATGGTGATAGAATAATTTGGAAAAATATATCAATAATGGTTGCCCATTATATAATCAAAGACACCAAATTGTCCATGTAGAAGTTGTTGACTTGGAGAGCGTTTTGTTGTGTATATTTTTGCCACAATTAAAAAATTTTAATGACACTAATAATAATAAGAAGAAAATGATCAAAATTGATTGTGGTCATGATTGTACAACCCTTGTGGATATGAGTGAACTATTGAATTGTGTGACATGTGGATGAAGTGAAAATAAAATTGTAAAAACTGAGGATGGTGAGACTTTCTCTCATGTGGGTTTGACACGCTATCAAGAGGGACCAGTACCTGGAAAAAGACCAGCTTGGAGAAGCAGAGAAAGATCTCAAGGAGATGATTGACACTGTGAGCTCAACATAGCAGTGATTGTCAGGATGGTGCAGGACTGGGTGATGTTGCACACAGGGTGCTACCTCACCTGGCAGCCGTGTGGTTTGGTAAGGGGGATCAATGGCTATATTTTCTTTGATTGCATATTTGGGTTTTTTGCACTTCTTTACCCAGTCAATAATGATAAGTTTTATTTTCCTGGAACATAATCTATTTCATATAGGTTTTCACATTGACAAATTCCATGTAGTATTTCAATCCTTGGTTGAATTTAAAAAAATAGTTTGTTATTTGTTGGTTTAACTCTGCTATCTTAACTCTACTTTGTTTAATTTTATCAATTTCTGCTTTTATTGTAATGTCTTTCTTACTTCCTAATCAGTGCATTGAATGGGTCGATTTTCATCAGAGTATTGCTTTGATTGCATCTGCAAGTTATGTGTTCATAGACTCCTGTGATAATTAAGGGCAATTATGTACATTAGGCACTTAGCACAGTACTCAGTACTGGGTCCGACTCATCGGACCGATGTACGACAGAAGGAGACACTGCCCCACGTGTGTACACTGCCTAGTGTTCTGGACCATCTTTACAATCTTTGGTACGTTGGAGCTCCCTGTTGCAAGCACGGTGTCACTCCATGCTGTTTAGGGTCTTTCTCTTTTTCACCCGCTCTCTAACTTACCAAGCACAATACTGATAAGTTGGCTGTTGATTTGGCTCTACAGGACATCAAATAGGCATCTTGAGGGCCCAGGGCCACTTCCAGGCTCTCTCATTTTATCTCCCATTGTAACTCCGCCTCTCTCCCTAGGGGGCGGGGCCTGGCCTCCCCTCCCCCCCCACGTTGCCATGACACTACGCAAGCACTGACAACACGTTCTAAAGTGCCTGCGTCTCCCTGTCCTCTGTCGTCCTCCGCCTTCTAAAAGCTGCTCTGGACTAGCTAATAAGAAAAATAGTCCCTTGGCAACGGAGTTCTTTCCGCCAAGGGGCGGGACCAGGGCGGGTGTTGAGGCCGGAAGTCCGTAAACCGCGTGGTAGGATTGGGCTTCGTGCTATGGGGGGCGGGCTCAAGTGGGCGGAGGGATCCACTTGGTGCGGCGCTTCCCCCGGCAGCCTCCATTTAAGGCGTGGAGAGAAACGCGGGCGGCAGTTGCTGTGGTTTCCATCCGTACTTGTGTGTGTCTCTCCGGGACCACTGAAGCTCGTGGCCTTAGCGTCCCGTGTTCAAGTCCGGCTGACTGCGGCTACTGTTCGCCACGTAGCAGCGCAGCATCTTTTCTCCAGATTAGGCCCAGGACCCCGCTTTGTCCCTGTTCCCCCGTGCCCGTATCTACCCCGGGGGCCTAAGTCGACGCCGGCGCGGCTGAGGAGAAGGCCGCCGGAGCGATGTTCAAAAACACTTTCCAGAGCGGCTTCCTCTCCATCCTCTACAGCATCGGCAGCAAGCCTCTGCAGATCTGGGACAAAAAGGTCAGGGGATCTGGGCGCCGCGGCCGCGGGGCTGAGGACTCGTCCTGGGGGTCCGCCGGGTTGTTGGTGTGGAGCTGGGACTCGGGGGGCCTGGCCGGGCGGTCGCTGTGGGGTCCCCTCCCCGGCCTGGCGTGACTGGGTGCGTGGTTGGGGCCTGGTGTAAGCCGAGTGTACACGGGGATCAATTTGGGGTGGGCGTGGCTGGGGGGGCTCTGGCGTGGTTAGGAGGACACGCTAGTCAGTGCCTCTGAGCCTCGATTGTCCACCTGTAGCGTGAGTTGCACAGCATGACATGCATATATATATATTTTTTTTTTTACTGGGTTGTTTTTTTGTTTTGTTTTTTTTTTTAAACATTTTATTAGGGGCTCATACAACTGTTATCCCAATCCATACACACATCAATTGTGTAAAGCGTATTTGTACATCATTTCTCAAAACATTTTCTCTCCATTTAAACCCCCGACATTAGGTCCTCAATGACATGCATATTATCGGCAGGCATTTCAAGCACATCTGAATGACCTGCCCAGTGCCAGGCGCTGTACTGGGCACTAGACACACTGAGCCTTTGTTCCAGAACGCTCGGGCCAGGCCAGTTTGTTCGGGTTTCCTTCATTCGCCTCTTGTTTCCATTGATCCCAAACTAGACAGAATTCCGTGGCCTTTGGCACCTGCGCCCGCCCTCATTGTAACTCGGGATCTGTTTGTACCTTTTGTGCCCGATGTTTCCATCAGAAATGGGAAATGGTGCAGCCCAAGTCCGGGCTTGCCCATTCCTGGGCTTCTAGGGGTTACATTTCATTACTTTGAGATATGTGTCTCATGTAGATTCCCAGACAGCTGTACTCTATGTAAATTCACTGTCTTCAAGTTGATTCCGATGCGTAGTGACGCTGTGGGACAGGCTAGAACTGGTGAGCTTCCAAGACTTACTTAGGGGAGTAGAAAGCCCTGGCTTTCTCCTGCCCCGGTAGCTGCTGGTTTCCAACTGCTGTCCTTTCAGTTAGCAGCCTAGCTGGTCACCAGAACTCCTAAGTACATATAAACCAAACTCAATGCCATCAAATCCATTCTGATTCATAGGGACCCTGTAGGGCAGGGTAGAACTGCGCCTATGGGTTTCCAAGACTGTGACTCTAAGGAGTAGAAAGCTCCAGCTTTCTCCCGAGAAGCAGCTGGTGGTTTCAAACTGCTGACCTCGTGAGTAGCAGCTCAGTGCATAAATCAGTACACCCTCAGGGCTCTATACGCTTAGAAATTCAGAAGACCCTTTCATGGGGAAGACAGGTGATTTAAGGCACTGCTGGCCTCGGAGAGAACCCTGAGAGAGATGGGGGATGCTGAATGGAATTTTATTGAGGTCGGTGTGGACAGGGAGCGGAGGTGGTGCAGCAGTTAAGGGCTCAGCTGCTAACCACAGGTCCGTGGTTGAGACCCTCCCACTGCTCCCTGGGAGAAAAGAAAGCCATGCCCCTCGTAAGTAAGTAAGTAGAGGGCAGCTTTGGGAACAAGGTGGAGGGCTCCCGTTCCACTCTAGGGCCATTATGCATCAGAATCGACTCGATGGCAGCGGGTTTGGGTCTAGGACATGGATGAATCAAAATAAGCAGAGTTTTCATCTCCTCGCAACAGCTCTGTGCTTCCCTTGTCCACAGGTGAGCGTTTGGGGCAGCCTCTTTCTGCCTGTCATCTGCGTTTAGAGAGCAGCTTTTCGTGGTGTGTGGGGTGTTCATTTAGTATCATTTTCCTAAGATAGTTCAAAGTGCTGTGTAATGAATTTTTCCCTCTGTATCTGAAAAATTTGACCGGACGTCTTCCACATGTGGGAGCCGATGCCACAAGGGAAAGAGGAGAGCAGCTCCCTCATCTTCATTGGTGTCCCTGGGGCTCTCAGTGGCCTGCGTTTGTTCACACTGGAGCGAGGGCTTATACATGGAGAAGCCACCACTCTTGGAAAGAGAACAAGCAGCACTGGTTGCACAGCAAGTTAAGCATTGGACTGCTGACCGGAAGGTTGGTCCTCTGAGCACACCAACCACTCTGCAGGAGAAAGTGAGCTTTCCACTTGACAAGGATTTCTAGCCTTGGGAACTTTCTGGGGCATTCTAGCCCCCGTGGCCGTGGCCTTCGGTTGGGATTGGCTTAACAGCAGGGGCTCTGGACAAAGGCGGTCCAAGGTGGCTCTACCTGGGAACAAGCAAGCTGTCACGGGACGTGGTTTGGGGTCATCGGTTGTCTTGGAGAGATGTGCCTCTTTATGCCAGTGAGGTCATTGAAGGGGGCGAACCGTAACATGGGTCAAGGGTAGGGACAGGAAACAGGGACATGCCCTGGGGGCTGTTTTCAGAGCAAGTCAGAGAATTTACTTAATCCTGAAAAAAATCCTAGCAGTAGGGCAGCTTCAGCACTTGTCTTAGATGAACCTGTTGTCCTTGAGCCCCCATGGGCAGCTTTTTTTTGACTAGTCAACATGTTTACACACAGTTATAAAAGCAAAGTAACCATGGTGCCCTGAGTCCCTTAACACCGCCACTAGAGGTCGGATGGTACCCTAAAGACATAAACACGGGTGAAAACAGAGCAACCGGCAGGGCTACATGGAATATTTCAGGGAGGCAGAAAAAGCCCCCCAAGAAACAGAAGAGTACTCACTTTCCCCTAAATCCTGTTAGTAAAAATTATTTACCTGTTCTGCCCCTCTTACTTAGACTCATTTGAAAGTTTGGCAGTGGAATTTCCCCCATCAGACACATGAAGAGGAGGAAATACTTCTCCGCGATTCTTGAGCAGCAGCTCTGTGGAGGCATTGTGTAGACTTAGGGATCTGTCGCTAGGGAGACAGTTTCCCTGCTCTCGGAGATTAGGGTCAGTTGGTGGGGAGAACTGCCCCCATTTATCTGGGCCTGGCTCTGACCGTCACCTGTAGGTACATTATTAACCCTGGTGCCTTTTTTAGTGGTTATTTTGATTTCAAACACTTCCTGAGCTTATGGAGAAAAAGTTTTGCCTTTGATTTCAATAATAAATATACCTACTCCTCCCTACAGACTTGCTCATTAGCTGGCATTTTGCATATCTAACAATAAGTAAAAACAGTCTGGCGCAGCAATCCTGTACGTCTGGCAGTAGTGGATCAATACTCAGGAGGTGGTGAGAGGAACATTGGCTGCGTGGCTGTGTGTCTGTGTAACTCGTCCATGATTCTCAGCGATTTGACATTTGTATCATGATGTACTCATCCTTCATTTTGTGATCGGATGTGGTCCTGTAACACTGGTGTCCACATTAGGATTTGGAGCCTAACCGTGTTGATGAGTGAGGAGTGGATGTAATCTTCAGAAATGAGGGTTTGACTTGTTTTGGCTCTCAGCTCACCTGATGTCCCTCCCTCTTAGCAGCGGCCGCCAATGGAACTGCAAGGTCTGTTTTCACTCACTGCCAGCTTTTGGACTTCCTGGTCCCTCTGCTGGGAGCCACCCCTCCCTCCCTCATCTCCGTGGGTCTCCTCTAGGTCGCTGTTCAAAGACACTTCCTCAGAGGGACCTTCAAGGCTCCAGACTGTGCTGATGTGCCATCTAGTCAGGCCTGCCTCACACTGGGCCTACAGAAAGCACCTCCGTGGCTGTGTGTAATCTTCATGAAACAGATCACCAGGTCTGTTTCCGCTTCCGCACCACAGACCTTAACCCTTGTGCCACCTGGGCTGCTTACGAACTCATATACATTCATAGAACCTCGGCTTCCTTTGCATTGTTACATCATAGTTAGAATGGATTTCCTAAGATCTGTGTTCCAGTGATTCAGCCTCCTGAGTATAGAGATGTTTGTGACTTTTCAAGCCAAGAGTTTAAGGCGAAATTAGGATTTTCTTTCCTATTTCCTTAGCTTCTAGGGTCAGGAAAATTCTCATTCGTTAGAGAACTCTTCTGTGTCATGTCAGGAGCCCTGGCGGTGCTGTCGGGTCCGCGTTGGACTGGCTCAACCCAGCAGCCACTCCTGGAAAATTCACAGCTTCAGAAACCCCCCTTGGGGTTGCTACGACTCACAGAGTCACTGGATGGCAGTGGCCGTGTTGTGTTTAAAATGAGCTCTGGTTTGTCGGGAAAGTACCATGGGGTTCAAGTTTCCTCATGCCTGTGTAAAATGGTATCTGTTTTTAATCATTAGTGAAAAAAATAAACCAACTAAAATCCCCTCCTCATGAGAAATGAGGCTGTTATGTCATGAACATTGCTTTCTTCCCCTCATTCCCAACCTAAGGGTTAAAGCCCGAAGTCTGACTTACTGTCCATGCTGGTAGCGCTAGGTTCCCATTCCCATCCAAGTCTGACCAAGTATCCTCTCTGGGGGTGGGGGGCTTTCCCCCGCCCCCCACTCCAGCTTTTGATCATCTGACCTTGTTGGGACATGCTTGGTTGACGGCAGGCCTCCCAGTGGTTGATCGAGTACCACAGAGGATGACATTTGGACACGAAGGTGATAAAACTGCATCCCCCCCCCCCCCCCCCCAGACTTCCCTGGGTTACTCAGGTGGTGGTCTTTGCTGTAACTTCCCGGAAGCCTGGGTTTTAGGAAACTGATCAGAACTGTACAGAGTGGCTCTGGCTTCATGGGCTTATAAATGCCTGGTGTCACTGGCCCGCTGTCTGGATAGTCCCTGTCTGCCGGCTGGGGCTATACCCAGCTCTTCCCCCAGAGGTCGCCCTCCGCCTGTCGGTCCATGCTGGTGCCCAGCCCCTTCCCCAGAGACGACTTTTCCCGCAGGAAAGGGCAGCTCTGATGGCTTAATGTAAATTGGAACATATGTCATTCAGGCGAGGACGCCAGATGGCTGAGGGTTCAGCTGTCTGCCAGGAGAAGTGGGTGGAGCCAGAAAAATGAAAGTGGAGTGGGAGAGAGAGAATACAATTCATGTGTTATTTTTAAAGCCTTCTTAGAAACCTAGAGCAATGGCCAGCTTCTTCCCCCTCCCAGTTTTTTTCCCTTCAGCGTGACCCTCCTCCCTGGGACTTCCATTGAAGGGGGGAAAAAAAGTCAGTGTTCTTTATCAGTTGCCCCAGCAACCATGGAAACTCTGGCAGAGTGGTTGCAAGGGCTTTTGAAGGTCCCTTTCCTGGTGTGGCAGAGACTCTGAGCTGCTCACTGTCGGGCGCCCGGGTTCTGAAGCCCCTCGGAGCCTCCAGCTCATGAGAGGAGGAACGAGGTTCATAGAACAAGTCATGTAAGCCTGGCTGTAAATTCTTCTGGCTGCAGTAAGGAAACACTGAGAGCCACAAGGTGAGAGTGTGTCACAGAACACAAGCTGCATTTGTCATGCAGAAGCCACTGGTGAATCTCAAACTTTCTGACCCAGAGACCGGAGGTGAAAGAAGTCGGCTCCCGCCACACAGTGCCAGCCGGTGGGACTATTTCAGTTCATTTCCCCGCCATGCCACCGTGACTCCTGGACCGGACAGTGCCAAGGAAAGAAACGTGTGCTTTCTGAGGACATGCATCTTGTTACAAATGTTTGGACCAGATGGGGGGAGTGGCCAAAGTGCCAGGTGGAGGCCTTGCCCCAAAGGCCCCCTCCCAGCCCCTTCCCCTTTGATCTCCTCTTTAGAGCATGGAAAGGCAGCTTTGGAGAGTTACCCTTTCAGTGTGCCACAACTCAGGCGGGCCCTGTGTGTCAGTCCTCACAGGGTTTCAGGGGCTGATGTGTCAAAAGTAGATGACTAGACCTTTCTATGGAGGCCCCCCTGGGCAGACGTGACTTTCTGGTAGCAGGTGATTGAATTAACCATTTGCACTACTCAGGGACACCTTCAGTTCTTTTTTAAAAAGATCATTTTATTGGGGGCTCTTACAGCTCTTGTAACATTCCATACATCAATCGGGTCAAGCATATTTGTACATATAAATTATTATTATTTTCATATCTTACACTGACCACTTTCTCTCTTCCCCCATGGTTTCTCTACCCCACCTGCCCCCACCTGCCCCTGGACTCCTTAGGTTCTTAAAGTCCTTAGGTTTCTGATTAATTGCTTCTACCCCTAAGCGCCCCCCCCTCTTATGAATTTGTATTCACCACCCTGTGAAATTTATGAAGTATAAAAGTCATAATTAACACCCAAGTTTAATTGGATTCCAAGCTCTGGCAGCTTGTTGTGTGGGAGTCCTTTTTGAGGGGTTTATCGTTTTCCTGGGGCTTTTTGTATTTCATTTAGCCTGCCCTACCCAGAGCAGGTTAAATGAGTGGCTCTGGCTTCATGGGCTTATAAATGCCTGGTGTCACTGGCCCGCTGTCTGGATAGTCCCAGAGGAGCCCTGGGGGCATCGTGAGGACACATTGGCAGTTAGTTAACTGCAAGGTCAGCAGTTTGAAACCACCAGCCAGTTCCTTGGGAGAAAGACAAATCTTTCTACTCCTGTAAAGAGTTAGGGTCTTGGAAACTCACAGGGACAGGCCTGTCCTGTCCTTCCTGATGGGGTCGCTGTGAGTCAGAATTGACTCGATGGCAGTTTGAGGTCAAAACTGCAGGGGAGCCAGTGAAGGGACACCTCCTTAAAGCACGTTGCCCTTTCCTCCTCCCACTACTCTGGTTTGGTGACCTGTATTAGCATTACTCATGCTGTGAGTTACTCAGAGTTGTGGCTGAGCGATATTTTCTCCTTAGGAAGTTACTGAAGGTCCAGCTATCAGCTAGCCGGGCTCGGGCAGCCACATCTGCAGAGCCGGCTCTGGTTCTCAGTCGCTGGTGTCCATGCACAGTGCTAGGCACCATTCTTTTCTTTCACCACCTGACTGTCGGGCCTGCTGGAGTGTGGGGTGCAGGCATCGACTGATCTCTGAGATGCCATAGGGCCGGGGCCTTTACGTTTCCACCAGAACAGATGTGGCTGGGTGTTCTGGGCCCAGGCGAGGCTTCTTGTTGTCCCTGACCTGAGACCTTTGGCGAGGTTTGATTTGAGGGTTGGATAAATAGCAAGCTGCTGCCTTTAGCTCCTAGTGGCTTCGTAGCCCTTGCAGTGTTCCCATGTGTTTGATCCGTGCACTGCAGCCCTTTGAAGAAAGAGTGATGCCTTTGGAGGCAACCGAGGGCTCTGATTTCACATGAGTGTTTGGCACCTTCCTGGAGGACCGCCAGCTCATATCAGCGGGGCTCTTTCACAGTATTTGGAAGCCGTTTCTTGATGGATTCTCTCTTCACTAACACTCGGTCGGATTTTCCCCAGCAGCCGTGGCCCAGAAAGTCTAGGCAGCGTGCTACCTCTTTGGTTGGGAGTGTGTATGTGGGGATGGTAGGCAGCACTGACATGCTCCTCTTTGTGTGCTCAGTCTCCCTTGGCCAGAGGCCCAGAATTCAGAGCAGGAGGTCACTGGATGCCGCCAGCTTTGTTTGAGAAGCACTTCAATGTGACGCTGTGTCTTGCCAACCCAAGGCATGCTCCACTGGCAGAGAGTGAGGGCCCTTCTCTCTCTGACCAGGGGCACCAAGGGACATTTTGTGGGAGAGCACAGTTGTGGTTGCCCTTGGTGGCCTCCTCTTGGGCTTTGTGATGACAAAATCCTCCCTGAACCTAGTCCTAGGTGTGCCAGTTCGTAGGGTGACAAATTACAAAGCCAACAAGTGCTGACTGTGTGCCTTCCACAGTACTAAGCCTTGTGGAAGATACAAAGGGTGCTTACTGCATGGCACTTCCTCTTGAGCTTCGAGCACACAAGACTTAACTCTGACAGTACGGCGCTTCTTCAAACCAGGCACAGCACCTGACCCAGCTATCACTGCTCGGTACAGACCCCGGAGAGATAAAGACCAAAACACGGACAGATGATCACAGCACCGTCCACGACAGGCAAAAGCCGGAAACAACTGAAGTGGTCGCCTGTGCGGGAGTGGGCAAGCAAACTGTGGTGCAGGCACACGGCGGAGTGCTCTGCATCCCTGGAAACAAGCAGTGACCACACTGTCGGACACCTCATTTCATGGGGGAATTTGGCAGAAAAAGAAACCCTGTTCGAGGGAACGGTTACAATAGGGAAGGATCATAAGAAACAACAGACTTGAAGGGTAGGGGCAGGGGAGAGGGAGAGGGAGAGAAAAGAAACGAGAGACCCACACAGATACACAGGGACTGACACACAAATTAAGGAGTGCCTGTGTCTGTCCTAGAGAATCCATCAGTCACGTGGGGTGTCAGAAACGCACGGATTGCCGAGTCCTGTCGGGAGCACAGCTAGGTGTCATCCCACAGCTGGTGACGGCCACGGGGCCAGTTCTACCCTGTCCGACAGGGTCGGTGTGAGTTGGCATCGACTTGATGGCTGTGAGTTTTGCTTGGCAGCAAACTTAAAGGGCACCTTTGTGCAACCTGCTTGTGCAGTGCCCGACCCGAACAACTGCCCTGTGTGTCGAGCTGGAAAAGCACAGCAAGACCTCACCTGCCCAACTCCTTCAGAGCACCCCTGGCACTGCTTACACATGCCACCAGACACCAGGCATCCTGTGGCCCCCGAAGCCCTGGCTCCATGCTGACCTGACCGCGCCCCTGCCATTCTCAGCTCCCCTGTACTGTCTGTCAGACAAGGTCAAAGCTTGGGAGCCTGCCATTTCAGGCCCTCGGATTCAGCCCTTGCCGCCTCTTCTCTCCTGGCCTCCTGACAGGTGAACGGCCTGCTGGGTCCCACGACATGAAACACATCTAGCCTGCAGGCACTTACACAGATCCCTCTCAAAAAAAAAAAAGGCTGAGTAGCAGATGTCACCTGGGGAACGCACGCGGAGTGGAGTAACTCATCAGAGCAGCTCAGAGAGACAGATGCCTCCAAGCAGACGCCATTATAGTAATAACTGTTGGAAAACACAAACAGCCCACACGGCTTCACACCACTCGCTCTCCCTGGTGAGTGAGCGAGCCAGCTTCCGCTGGGCAATGGAGTCATTACAACCCACCACAGCCGTCTGCCAGTGCTGGGGGAAGCCCACCTCTGCCTTTCTCCTGCTGACTGTTATGTGCCTGGCTGGGCAGCTCACGTGTTACCGTGTTCCAGAAGGCCCCTCTGCTCTGTCCATGTTAGGTCAGGTGCTTGGGCACTTCGTGTTGGAAGGTAATGGTTCTTTCCTAAATATTGTGAGGGGAAAGAATGTGTTAAATGCAGAATCGTGAACTTCCTGAACATGCAGTCGCAGTATAAAGCCATGAAGGATGAAGTGCTAAGCTCAGGCCTAGAACGCATGGCAGAACAACAGCGCAAAGAGGGGCAGAGGTCAGCAGGGCTGGAGTGGCTAAGGAAGGCTGCCTCTGTGGGTGGCACAGACAGATCCGAGCGCACACTTGCAGTAGGAACTTGGGGGAAAGGGAAGACAAGGAATCCTGTAGAGGGGACAGCCCGGTGGTGATGACTTGTACTCACGCGTCCAACTTGTCGGGGTCTCAGTGTTTCATTGCCAAAGGTACGTGTATGTGAGGCCCTATGTGCTGTGCCCCCTGACTCTCGCACCCTGGGTCTCTGTCCACGTCTGTGCCTCCGTTCTATCCTGAGAATCAAGTGAGAGCCTGCAGGCGAGTGCGCTTGGTGCCTGGTAAGCACTCGGCAAGTATGCGTTGGATCTGAATTGAGCTGATTTCTTCAAAGAGACATTCATCCCTGGGATCCCCATGGCCATGTGATGGCTTCGCTTAGTAGTTAAACGTCAGCAAACATTGTCACAAACTGGTGTGTTCTTATGGCCCCTGGCCTGCTCTGGGTGCCCCTAAATGGGCATGCTCAGCTGTCCTCGGCCTTCAGAAACGCTGCGGGCTTGCTTCCCTGGATTTCAGTACTGATCAATCAGTTCCCTCCTTGGCAGGTGCGGAATGGTCACATCAAAAGAATCACTGACAATGACATTCAGTCCCTGGTGCTGGAGATCGAGGGGACAAACGTCAGGTAGGCCGCCCCCAACCCCCAGAGACATTGTGCGCCAGGGAGGCAGTACATCACAATGGTTCGTGTCTCAGGCACCTGGCCACCTCATCCCCCGGGCTTGGCCACCTCATCCCCCGGGCCTTAGCTTCCTCGTCTGCCAAGTAGGATAATGGTAGACGGTGAAGAGTCAGTACGGGAATGCGTGCCACTTACTTAAAGCCATACTTAGCACATGCTTAGCTCTGGAAGCTTGAGCTACAGCTCAGCCTTCAGGGGGGCGGGGTGGGGGTGAGGGCACACTGCCTGTAGCAATCCGAATCAGGGTCTGAAGGGTGGCCGGCATGCTTCTTGACGCCGCTGGGGCCTCGGTGTTTGGTTTGTTACTTGATGGTCCTTGTGGAACAGAATGAGCGTTCCTGTGAAGGGCCTGGAGGAAGGTCGGTCCTAAGGCCCAGTTGGTCAGATGCTGTTCCCCAGATGTGCTGTGTTGCTGGCGAGCCCTGTCCGGAGCTCTTGTGGGCCGGGCCCGGGTATGAGCGCAGCCTGCCTTCAGAGCATCAGCTGAAGCAGGCTTGAGGGGCTCCCGGGGGGACCTGTGTCGCCCTGCGTCACTCCCCCGAGGGGGACGGCAGCGAATGTGTGCCCACTGCACTGCTCTCTCCACAGCACCACCTACATCACGTGCCCCGCCGACCCCAAGAAGACCCTGGGGATCAAGCTTCCCTTCCTTGTCATGATTATCAAAAACCTCAAGAAATACTTCACCTTTGAGGTTCAGGTGAGTGCGGGCACATGGCCAGGTACCAAAGGGGGAGCCTTTCCACCTGCCCAGAGCAGGGCCTTCGGGAACGAGCCAGACACATCCGCCTCTTCTGCCCCTGCTGTTAGTGTAATAGTGCTCTTGCCATTCTGTGTTAAATGTGGTATTCGTCCTCAAACTTCACTCCCAGGTTTTCCGGCAGTGTAGCCATCTAGGAACGCCGGCCCATAATGGCAGGATTCCAAAGCGTAAGGGTTAGCAGGGTGCCTTGTATGGTGAGTGAGTCGCCTGTTAGTGGTCTCGACTTGAGCAGTTTTGATTTTGCAAAGGGAAGAACTTGCATGAAGTCATCCCGTGGTCTTGAGAGTCGCCCTCATAAGTCATACGCAGCTGGTGTCTTGGCAACAAACAAGATAAACTCGCTACTTCCAGCCTGTCTGCATCCCGTGTGACTGGTGTCTGGGCTGTTGAGTTCCACTTGAGCCTTGGCTCGGGGAGCCGGGTTGTCTGAGCGAAGACCCTTGTCTGAAATGCCCTGGGTGCTGCTGTAGAGATGGTGTCCCCCCCGTCCCCCGTCTCACAGGTGCTCGATGACAAGAACGTTCGGCGGCGGTTCAGGGCCAGCAACTACCAGAGCACCACCCGCGTGAAGCCCTTCATCTGCACCATGCCCATGCGGCTGGACGACGGCTGGAACCAGATCCAGTTCAACCTGTCCGACTTCACCCGGCGGGCCTATGGCACAAATTACATCGAGACCCTCCGAGTGCAGGTGCCGGCCGCTTTCCAGGGCCCGCCTCAGGAGGGGAGGGAGGCTGTGCGCTGTCTGAGACCGCCTTAAGGCCCAGGTGGCACAATGTGTGAGCTAAAGGCCCGGGGTCACGGTGCAGAGGGCTCCAGCCTTGAAGGGGATCGAGGAAGATGCAGCAGGCCATGCCCCTGCCAGAACTGTCCCCATCCCCAGCCAAACCAAGGAGACGGAATCTTGTCAGCACCACAGGAGGGGGTAAAACTAGGGTGCTTAGCTCCTCAAAGCAAATCCTGTACCCACAGATCCATGCGAACTGCCGCATTCGACGGGTCTACTTCTCAGACAGACTCTATTCAGAAGACGAACTGCCAGCAGAGTTCAAACTGTATCTCCCAGTTCAGAACAAGGCCAAGGTGAGTGGGCCTGCTTCCCGGGAAGCCGGGCAGGGAATGGGGGAGTGGCTCCTCTTCCATTCATCCCGAGGGATCCTGTGTTGGGGTCACTTCGTGTCCCCCTGCCCTCCACAGGGCAGGGAACCCTGCTGCATCCTGCTCAGAGACACTCCCTACCCCACAGCCCTCTCTACCACAGTGGGCACCCTACTGGTGGTGCCTGTGCACTCCCCTCGCCCAGGGCGGGTGCCAGTGCTGCCGACCCTCACTTTCTGATCCTTTAACTAGGGGCCTTTCCTGCTTTCCCCTCTAGCAATAACTGGAAGGCAACTCGAGAGATAGACCCCAGACCGGGACTTCAGGAAACTCGCTGGAGGACAGTGCGACAAGTAGAAATATTTATATTAGTTCCCTGTGCTGTGGTTCTTTGGTGCCCTACTTGGCGTCCCTCGTCATGGGCCCCAGTGACCAGTTGCCCTGTAAGCACAGTGGGGATAAGCTGTCCTGGAGTGACATGTGAGCGCCGGCCGGCGTTTCTCCTCTCAGCCTCAGGGAGTGGGAAAATGTGTCTACCACGAACGTCCCGAATCCCAGCTGTCCCATCAGACAGCTTCAGACCAATATTTGTTTCTACAGTATGTTCTTTGTTTTATATGTTGTCCAAAGATATGTATTATAATCTGTATAATACACGTCATTTGGAGGTCAATAAAATGTTATATTCTCGGTTTGTACATCTGTGCCCTTGTGTGTCTTTCTCAATGGCTCATTCCCCTCTCCCTCCTGATAGGAACATAGAACTGCTGCCACAGAACATCGCTTTACGTACACTTGCAGGAGGTTGCAATCAGGGTTTAAAGATCCAGGTAGATACATGCCAGTACTGGTTTGGAACATCTTCCTGGATAAACTAAATGGCAAAAACACGGGCAATGTATGACCAATAGAGTCTCCTTACTAGGGATTAGGTCTCAGAAGAAAATGGCGTGGGGGCCACATCTGACCCCTACCCTGGCTACAGGAAGAAGAAGGAGAACCCACCTCCACACCAGCCCAAGCCGACTGCCACATGCCCCCACCCTCCTTCCCTCCCACCGCACTCTACTTCTCTCCTGGGCTCAGTCGGATGTGTTGCAGTGCCCACACAGGGCTCGCCATGATGAGCTTATGGGGGAAGCTCACAGGTTACAAAATGCTAAGAACATCCACAGCGTCTCTCCTCTGCCATGCGGGTAGACTTGTCTCTGGTCCTGGGCCTCTGCCTTGTTCCGGGGGCCTGGAAGTCCGCTGCTCCCCTGCTCTGCCTCAGGATCTCGGTGCAGGGCCCAGTGGTGGCTCTTCTTCCTCGAGGGATGTGGGATTCCTTTCTGCTTCTGAGGTGGCTCACTCAGCCCAGTGCGAGGGCAAAGCTGACCAGTCTCCTCTGTTAGTGGGTCTCACACCCTGTCTGCACAGTCCCACCAGTCAGTGGGTGGGGGTTACAAAGGCACGGGTGGGAGAGCCATGCCAAGTCCTCAAACTGTTCACCACACTCGAGTTGGGTTGAAGACAGGAAAATGGCACAGCCAAATCCCCTTCAACACTTCAGGCAGGCGCTGTATTGGAGACCCTCGCAGTCCTGCAGGAATCGATACTCCCTGTGTTGTTGACCTTCGCCCCGACCCCCAGTTCCTTTCAGAAGCCCTCCAGATGAAGCACTTGCCTTGAGTTTAGGGACTTAGAAGAAACGTGTTTCTTTAAACTCTAGAATCACACAAGGGAGCCAAAGCCCTTTCCCATGCACCTGTACTCTTGGGAATGTGATTGTTTAGGGGAGTGATAACGGCACCTCTTTTGGTTGTGGTTTTTCCTTTTAGCCAAGAGCAAATCCAATTTGTACAAGTAGTCATTTGGTGTGATGCAACTATACCGTGTGTCGTGTTCCCAAGGAGAAAGCGATTTGGGGGCCGAGAAGGGAAGTTTGGGGCACACCTGGATTGTGGAGGACACGCACAAACAGGCTCAGTGACTGCAGCCGTGCAGAACGGTTTCCTATCACTTCATTTTGGGCACTATGGAGAATATTTTTGGGAAGGTGAAATTCACATAGTAAAATAAAAACCGCAAGGCAGATAAAAGACAAGGGACCATCATAGATCCTACAGATGTTTCTTTCCCCTGGGGTGAGATTGGAATTGGGCCCCGGTCACTTTTACTTCAATAAACAAGTAGACAAAAACAAGTAGACATCTCCAGTGCTGCCTTGTGAGAAGTAATGTGGCCAAGAAGCACTGCCCTGGGTGCCCTTCTCTCTGAGAGCTCTGGGTGACCATGACCTAAGCCTCCCAGGAGGGCAGGAGCCCCTGGGAGTGGAGGCAACAGGGAGTATTCCCACCTCACAGCTGTCTGGTGCCTGACGTACATGGGCCATCAGGACGAGGTCCCCTTGTTTGAGTGAGTGTCCACTACCAGGCTGGAACAGATACTGCCCATGTCCTCGGAGAGCCACCAGTTGTCTCCACATGCCCGAGCTGCATCTATCGACGTCCCCATCCGCCCAGCTGACAATTGAGGGCCGGCTCCAGTCCTTCGACTCAGTGGACTCGGGTCCTCAGACTCCATGCGTCTGGCTAGCCTTCTGGCTGCCAGCAGGGCTCTTCAGAAATGGGTGGGGGTGGGGTGGTCCGTCTGTGACTTCAACCGAGCTGCTGTCTCCGGCTACTCAACAGTGGAGTCTATCTTGGATGAAAGCTGCTTTTGTGGAGGCGAGAAAACGGTCCGGTTCCTCTCCCTCCAGCGCCAGGCACGGAGAAGAGGTGCTGGCAGGGCTGGGAACACAGTAGCGCCCTTCAGCCCAGGGGACTGACTATGCATGGAGATGACCTCACCACCCTCTTTGGGGTGGAAGGAGACAGCTGTCCGCTTCCCAGATACTTGACATACCCACCCGAGAGGAAGTGAGGGGGCGTACGGGTGCTGGGGTGGATCTCTAAGCTGGATCCCAGCCAGTGTGACTTTGGGTGACTCTGCAGCCCCTTGCCTCAGCATTCCAGCTCAGCCAGAGGAGGCCAGAGGAGGAGGAAGGGACAAAAGGACAGGCTCCCTGAAGGAGGATGAGCCGGGGTGACCACGGATCATGGTGACTGCTCCTGTGAGTTCGAAAGGCCTACTTCCCAATGGGACAGCGTCCCTTAGCAGGAGCCGGAGGGATGAGCAAGAACCCTTCCCAACGTGCCTCCGCTGGGGAGAGCAGATCCATGACGGGCATTTTGTTGTTGTTGTCAGTGGCCCAACCACTTCCACAAAAGGGGACAAAGCAGAGTTAGCACCACAGAGGAACCTTCTGATCAAAGAGTGAAGAAGTAAGCTGGGCCCTCATGAGCAGAGCAGGCGATAATAGCTATTGCTCAAAGATCCATTCATAAGCGGCCACCTGTAGTGACAGGTGTGGGGCTGAGCATCACCAACCCGGGGGCACTGATGATGAAGTGCCTTCAGGGGGCTTCCAGGTCCCAGCAGGACGGACTCTCGGCTAGAGTGGTGTCGGCGCATCGATACTTGCTTCCTGATGACAAACAACGGGGTGCGTGCGGGACACATCTGGTGAGAGGTCTCGGGTTTCTAAAACACCGTTTTGTTGGCACAGACTTCACGCGTCATGCAAGGTAACGGTGCGATCGTATTAAGAAGAGCCATGCCGTCACCACCACAACCGATTTCAGAACATTTTCTTCTCGTCCTCGTGGTTGTAGCTCCCCGTTTCCCTTCCCCCTCCATCCTCCCCAGCCAGGCCACTGGGGTAATTGCCCAGTGTCTCCCTCTCTGGATCTGCCTAGCCTTTTTTGTTTTTTGTTTCATCCACAAAACACTGTGCACAACACAAACAGGAAGCAGACCGAAAAAACCAACCACAATGACTAGACAAAACAGAAAAACCTTAGTATTTCCCCGTTTCAGGAGATCCTTAGACCTTGCCTATGGACTCATAGATGCAGGTGAACGCCTCCCCACCCCCAGGGACCCGGGGGTCTCCATCAGGCCTGACCCATGCAAGGACAGCGTCTTCCTCCCCTCAGAGGTTTCTGGTAACTAGTCCTTGAGAAGCCCTTCCACAGGGGCTGAGCAATTCTGCCCTGGATGCAGAGAGAGGCACAGGCTGGGAAGAGGAGGCCGGGGAGCTGCCTGACCTCCCACAAAAGCCTTCCCTTCCCTTCCCTTCCCTTCCC